AATAATATATAAAACATAAATAATAGGTAAAAAAATTAGAAAGAAAACTAAAATGAAAGAATGTTGACAAATTTAATTTATAACAAGCAACAAAAACATAAGATGTATTATATTACTTCTTTTGTCTGCGATAAAATGACGACACTCATCCAGTGATACAAATGGCGGCCAAACTACTGTACTTTCTAGATCTTCTTAACTATGACATTAGAAGAATTGGAGATAAGTGCAATAAAACCTAAGTACACACAGTATATTCGCGTACTTAATGTGACCAGTTCTGCAAAAGAGAAACTGTTTAATTGTACAATATTAGATTTAGTTGCATTCGTATTTTTAATGGGTCAGGTGTAACATCTAGTTCGTCGAGTGTAACTATGTTTCTTTTGTTATCGACCTGTGTATGTCTTTATATGTGTTAGTTCAAAGGACTTCTTTTAAATGGGATGTGGGATAGCCCAATGATAAACAGTGCGTAGGATCGTCACCAGGACATTCCTAAGGCTATGAGATCTTCTTCAATTTAGAAACATAAAAGCCATGATCCATAGTCCTTTTAGAGAATCCATTTATGCTTATCTAAAACATCTGAGGGAAAAGACTTTCGTAAATTACTTAAATTCGCCACTGTTGCGAATCAGGGTACAAGCGGGGATTTTATCTAAATGCTTTAACAATTACAAGCTAGTCAATAAGAATGCCCCTTTTTGAAATTTTCTGTTATTATACAACAATTTAATTAAAAGAAAACGTAATCATCAATAAAAAATAATGGACAGAAATAAGGAACAGACAAAAGAAAATTAATCAGTTATCAAAACATAGTTCATTTGTAAGATCTATATATAAAAAAATAATAAATAAAGTTTTACAAAGACAAAAAAGGAGTGTACCTTGTGTTAACACATACGTATCTACATACATATTTATATTTAAGATGTAGTTTAGTTGTGACGTATTTACAGCTTTATTTTAGTTTGTTAATTCAGCATTTTTATGTAAACCATTTATTAACGTTTATTTAGGTTCAATATTTAACAATTTCATTTATTCACTTTGTATTAATAATATTTGACCTAGTTTTACCTTATGCAAGTAATCAATTATGCTAAGAAATTATTTGTATAAAAAAATGAAAATAATAAAGAGTTAATCAGTTGTCTTTTATGAAGCGACCATAACCAATTTGGGTTTATTTAATAATCATCGTCTTTCCTTCAAGTTTATGTGCTTGTAAGGAGAATTTGACGGACTGTAAGTGTCAGTTCAAATGTATGTGTTTGAACTGAATCCCACTAGGTCCGATTTATATTAACATTTTTTGGTGACCCCGACGTGATCGTTTACACACATCCTTTTGCTCCACAAGTGGAAAAGGATTTTGATCGTAATACGCGTTCGCTAACACACATTCTTTTACCCCACAAGTGGTAAAAGAGGTTGATCGTGATACGTGTCGTTAAACACAGCCTTCTGCCCCACAAGTGGTAAAGGGCTTGGCAACATATATCCGGTTTTGTCAGACGTGATACACACGCATCTTGTACACAAATTTCTTTGGAAAAAATTTAAATATCAACAATGGCATCGCTTCAAGACCTTATAGTCCAACAAGAAGTAAGGGGTAGTAATTTCGAAAAATTCATAGCGACAATTAGGAAGGCACCGCTTGAAAATGATTCAGAACCCCAAGCATCAGCCCAGGTTAAGGAACCTGCGTCGGCTCAAGTTGGGGGACTGGCTCGGTCGCCTTCTGCAGAGTTTGGAAAATATAGAAACGGGACAATCAAAACATTGGCAAGCTCGCCAGAAAATGATTCAGAACCACAAGCATCAGCCCAGGTTAAGGAACCTGCGTCGGCTCAAGTTGGGGGACTGGCTCGGTCGCCTTCTGCAGAGTTTGGAAAATATAGAAACGGGACAGTCAAAACAAGTCTATGTGATAAAAGAAGAGTCGATTAAAAGGCTGTGGAGTCAAATTACAGGCCTGTACGATGAAATTTGGCAACAGGTCGAGGATGCTTCGAGAATCGGGCTGAATCAAGACAACTACGATAGCCTAGAAGATGCGGTTCAAAGCAACTTGGTAAGGCTGGCAATGGTGGACAAGCAGCATCTTCCTAATGTCCAAAAGATGTGGTACTTAAAAACAAATTTGTCGGGCGAAGTTGGAAAACTCATAAGCCACTTAGCCTTGACAGAGGACAACTACGCAACTGCATGGATGTTGCTCCAAGAACGGTACAATAACAAACGGGTTCTTGTTTCAACATTGGTAGAACGTATTCTGAACCAGCCAACAGGAACCTCATCAACCGCTTCTATCAAAGCTTTGCATGATACGACGAGGGAATATATGCTGGCCCTGAACAACCTGGATATTGACACTTCGTCGTGGGACGCGAGTTACGTACCTTCACCCTAATGTTGCCATTAACGCTGACGACGACATCAGCATTATTGTCCAGAAATACTTGAAACAATAACATAAGAACGATCGCACTGATGTTGCTTCCGTTGCCAGTGCTAAATCAATATTTCGAAACAATAAATTCTGAATCAGCTAAACCAATAAAATCAATAATATACAAAATAAGCATAATCGATATACGGAATAAGCATAAACAAAACGTTTTTTAAAGTCAACAGAAAGCCGCAACAATGTTACACAACATTGTCGCCGTATCTGTCAACTTAGCATTAATACAAAATAAATTGTCAAAAAGAACTTGAATACATTTAGTCTTAAGATCACAGAAGAAGAATAAAGTGGCATTAAGCCAAAGCTCTTGTCATTTTATTTTTTTCATTTTTTCATACCCGTAATTGGCGCAGTCGCGGAACTTAGCATCAAAAGATACTAAGAAAAGAACCAGACATTAAAATTAGTGTGTCAAAACCACTAATAACATTTAAAAAAAAATAATAATAACTAACACACTTAATAACATCAATACGTACAATAACGAACTTAGAAACGAAATCTTATATCACGATCAAATAATAAAATTAAAATTTCTGAATGACAAAATAGATATCATACTGGACTCTATAGCCTCGGCTAGATACAAACTATTTCATCCATCCATATTAACAAGCGAGGAATTAAGTAAATGCAGTATCGATTTTTATAAAATTAAATTAATAAAAATGGATGTAATGATTCATGAGGGAAATATAGTTATCGCTATCAAAATTCCCATTGACATCATCACTACTAAAATCATACGCATTATTCCTATTACTAACAGTAATAATGAGAAAATAGACGCAGAAATCGAGGAAATAATAAACATAAATAACAAAACCGACAAGTTTGAAGACGAAAAACCTCTAAGAGAACTTAAGCTAAGCAAAAATTGTATAACGGAAAATAATTGTAAATTAATAAAAGACTTCAAAACAGTAGTAGAGGTAATAAAAGATGGCACGATACTCATACAAAATGCAAATAAAATGTTAATAAAAGAGAAATGTAATGAAAGAGAAATAACTCACACAATAGAAAACAACACTCTTATTGAATTTATAAACTGTACAATCATAATAGAAGATGAACAATATTCAAACAAACAAGAAATATATATTCAAAAATTTGACGAAGATAACATGAAAAAAAATTATAATTTTTCAAGTACACCATCATTCAAGGAAATAGTAATAAGAGAAATAAAAAATATTAAAGAAATACAAGAACTAAAAATAAGGAACATAATTTCAGATACAAGCACAATTGCAATAATAATAATTTTAAGCATTACTATTATATATGTTTTTCTAAAACTAAGAACAATCCAAAATAAATACAGAATTCAGGAGAATCCTATGACAAAAGGGGGAGGAGTTACGTACCTTCACCCTAATGTTGCCATTAACGCTGACGACGACATCAGCATTATTGTCCAGAAATACTTGAAACAATAACATAACAACGATCGCACTGATGTTGCTTCCGTTGTCAATGCTAAATCAATATTTCGAAACAATAAATTCTGAATCAGCTAAACCAATAAAATCAATAATATACAAAATAAGCATAATCGATAATATACGGAATAAGCATAAACAAAACGTTTTTTAAAGTCAACAGAAAGCAGCAACAATGTTACACAACATTGTCGCCGTATCTGTCAACTTAGCATTAATACAAAATAAATTGTCAAAAAGAACTTGAATACATTTAGTCTTAAGATCACAGACGAAGAATAAAGTGGCATTAAGCCAAAGCTCTTGTCATTTTAATTTTTTCATACCCGTAATTCGCGCTATTGATGCAATTGATTACGAAGAAGTTGGATCATGCGTTGTACATACGGTTTATACAATCGTTAAAAAGACCGAAGGAGGTCCCTTCCATGAAAGAACTCTTTGCATTTTTGGAATTGCAGTTTGAGTCAATGGAATCGATTGGGAAAGTGGCAACTGCTCACAAAGGTTCAAGCTAAGCTGTTTCGTCCATAACATCAATGGAGAATCACAGTAATTGCAAACTATGCAAAAATGGCCAACATCGTCTTTATCAATGTAAGCAATTCTTGGCGATGTCAGAATCTGAAAGATTCCAATGGGTACAACAACATAGAATGTGCGTGAACTGTTTTAAGGCTGATCATATAGCGAAAAACTGCACATCTAGTAACTGCAAGAAATGTAATAATAAACACAATACATTATTACATTTATCAAGGAGATCTCAATCACCATCAACAGGCTTAAATCGAACGTCAACCACAAGTAGCAATCATACACCAGTCAATACTGTTGTAATTTCTTCGGCATCAGCAGAAGATCAGAAGAACGTAATTTCTGCCACTGCGAGAGTCACCATAAAAGCTGCAAATGGTATGTCAGGCGAGTTCAGAGCTGTGCTTGATTCCGGTTCACAAGTAAATATTGTTACAGAACGGCTGATTAAAAGGTTATCAATTGCAACAACAGAGACCTCTTTGTCTATTGACGGAGTTGGAAAAATCCAGAAGAAGGCTTATCATCGTGTGAACATGCAAATGTTGTCTAACAATTCTGGATTTTCATCTTATTTGGAAGCATTTGTTTTACCAACGATTATACCTGCACAACCGAATCACGATTTGGACATATCTAACTGGCAGATTCCAACGAGCATTAAATTGGCGGATCCAAATTTTAACATACAAGGAAAAATTGACATCCTACTCGGGGCGGAGTTTTACTTCAGCCTAATGCAACCGGGTACAATAAAACTGAATAATAATCAACCAATTCTGCAGAATACTGCGCTTGGCTGGATTGTAGGCGGCTTAATAGAACAATCATCAACGAACGTCACATCAGCAGCGCTAACATGTGCAATTTTCGGTAGTGAAACTTCACTGGCACAATCAATTGAGAAGTTATGGAAACTCGAGGAAGTAGCATCAACAGAAAGGGTAATGTCTCCACTGGAAACCCGCTGCGAGTCTCATTATAATCAGCATGTCCAAACGGATCAGAACGGTAGATTCATTGTTAGTTTTCCTTTCCAAGAATCTCCAACAACATTGTGAAAATTTCATGCGATGGCGTATAACCGGTCCATGAGTCTTGAACGTCGGCTTCTTCAGAAGGATGATATCCGCATGCAATACATCAAGTTCATGAAGGAATATGAAATGCTAGGACACATGCAGAAAATTGACGTGAATATAGTGTCGAACCCTAAATAATTCATTCCGCATCACTGTGTGCTTAAACCAGATAGTACCACGACAAAATAAAGGTGGTATTTGATGCATCCGCGAAAACGTCATCGGGTCATTCGTTAAATGACATTATGTACACAGGACCAACTGTGCAAAGCGAACTGTTCTCTATCCTGCTACGGTTCCGATTACCAAAGTTTGTCTTCACAACTGACATTGAAAAAATGTATAGACAAATCTTAATTCACCCCGATGATCAGAAATATCAACTGATCATTTGGAAGGAAGACCCATCGCACCCAGTTAGCTGTTACAATCTCAATACTGTTACATATGGAACTCGTGCAGCACCATACCTTGCCACAAAGTGTCTACAGAAAATCGCAGACGACAACTTGGATCGCTATCCCCTTGGTTCAGAAATGCTAAAAGAAAACTTTTATATGGACGATGATCTCGGTGGTTCTGATAGCTTAAACATAGCGATGGAGACGCAAAAGGAATTGATAATCATTTTGAAAAAGCACGGCTTCAACTCAAGAAAATGGTCGTCAAACAGTCCAAGATTGCTAAGGGATATACCTTATAGTGATCGGAAAGTCAATCTAGATTTTGATGAAAGCAAAACGATAAAGACTTTGGGACTATTTTGGATGCCTCAGGCCGACCGTTTTTGCGTGAAGGCAAATATTGATCATTGTCAAGTAATAACGAAACGATCAGTTACGTCTGAGCTAGCGAAACTCTTTGATCCACTTGGTCTGCTTGCACCAATTGTTGTAAAAGCAAAGATGTTTATCCAGCAGCTGTGGCAACTTGCATTAGGATGGGATGAACCATTACCCGAAAAACTTTGTGCTACCTGGAAAACATTTCGAAGCGAGTTGGAAAGTCACAACAATTTCAAAATACCACGGCATGTATTCGGTGGGCAGATTCCGGCAAAGGTGCAATTACATGTGTTTGCCGATGCGTCGGAGAAAGCGTTTGGCGCTGCTGTATACATTCGCTTTGTTACAAAGGATGGTCTCGTAGCTGTACGCCTGATCTGCGCTAAATCCAGAATTGCTCCGTTGAAACAGCAAACACTTCCTCGACTAGAGCTTTGTGCCGCAGTGGTAGCAGCTGAACTGGGAAATAGAGTAAGGATTGACTTAAAGCTTCATAGTCATCCCATGTTTCTATGGACCGACTCGGAAATTGTCCTTGTCTGGATAAAATCCCAGTCAACCTTATATAAGACATTTGTGGCAAATAGGGTATCAGACATTCAAACATTGTCATTACCAGAGCAATGGAAGCACGTTCCCTCAAAGGAGAATTCTGCCGACATCCTTTCTCGAGGCCTGCAACCAGTAGACCTATATAAGAGCCGATTATGGTTTCATGGTCCAGTTTTTCTTCACGGAAAGGAGGAGTTGTGGCCTGCTAAATGTCCTCCTCAAACTGCTCTTACAAATAACATGGAGCTAAAGGTTGTCGCTACGACTGCTATAGTATCCTCTGACATCCACTTTATAGATGGAATCGATCACAAAAATTCCTTCAGGAGACTACAAAGGATTGTGTCATACGTCCTCAGATTTATAAGAAATGCGCGGATCCAAAGGTCTCAGCGGTCCAGAAGTAAGGCCCTTAACCCTGAGGAGTTAAATGACTCCCTCCGGTTAATTACTCATGCTATACATAGCTATACATGCTATATATAGTTGAAAGCTGAGAAGCAAATTAGCAAACACAGCTCTCTATGCAACCTGTCCCGTACTTGGATGAAGAAGGTGTCCTTCGCGTAGGTGGAAGATTGGAACATTCTATGCTTCAACCGGAGGCAAAACATCCAATAATATTGTCATATAACGGTCCATTAGTAAAATTGTTTTTTACGACGATTCATGAAGAAAACAAACATTGTGGACCTCAAGCGCTGTTAAACACAATAAGACAACGATTTTGGCCAATCAGAGGGAAAATAACTGCCAGATCAACGGTTCAAAAATGTATAAGGTGCACCAGAGCACGACCCCAACTGTATCAACAAATAATGGGACAGCTGCCTGCAACAAAAGTAACTCCCGCACGGCCATTTATAAACTCAGGAGTTGATTATTGTGGGCCATTTTGGATACATTACAAAGTGAGGGGTAAGCGACCAACCAAGGCTTATGTAGCTGTCTTCTATTGTTTTGCCACAAAGGCAGTTCACCTAGAACTTGTGTCTGATTTATCCACAGAAGCTTTTATTGGCGCACTTAAACGCTTCATTGCGCGGCGTGGGCACTGCCAAAACATATATTGCTACAATGCTACGAACTTCGTTGGAGCCAAGAATAATTTAGCGGAGCTATCTAAAAATATATGTATTCGGATAAAGCACAAGAATCAATTATTTCAACCTCAAGCTCTAAAAGCATTCACTTTCATTTCATCCCACCAAGAGCACCGCATTTCGGAGGTTTATGGGAAGCAGCAGTAAAGTCTCTTGATACGTAGCGTGTCAACGGAAAACTTAACACATGAGGAATTGGAAACGATCATATTCGAGATAGAAGCAATCCTAAATTCCCGGCCGCTCACGCCTTTGTCAAACGATCCTGATTGTCTTGAAGCATTGACACCAGGACACTTTTTAATCGGGGAGGCTTTAACTACACAAGTAGACAGCAGAGCAGAATCTGTTAAGACATCCAGCATATCTCATTGGAAGCTGCTCTCACATATCAAGCAGCAGTTCTGGAGGAGATGGTCGGATGAATACCTCCACGAACTGCAACAACGGAACAAATGGAGGAGAAAGATGAACAATCTTCGGAAAGGTGATATGGTCATCATCAAGGAAGATAATTTACCACCGATGAAGTGGCCATTGGGAAGAATTCTCAATGTGTTCGCTGGTGACGATGGAGCTGTACGAGTTGCTGATGTGAAAACATCAACTGGAGTATACAAACGGGTCATTCAGAGGTTGGCTCCACGGTTTCCAGAGGAGCATATTGAATTATCCACGGACCAGACAACGCAGGGTGACATCGGCTCTTCTAGGCAAGAGGAAGATGGGAAAGATACCATCCCGAGGAAAAGAATGAAGATCGCAAATTGTCCCATAATGCTATCAGTAATATTAGCCTTGCTTCTAATGCCTGTGGTCCTATGCGACATGCTGAAAATAACGCAATTTCACAATGATCTGGGATTATATTTCGAAGGCTTGGGAACAGTGAAACTTAACACGGCAGAATAGAAAATGTTGGTGTATTACGATTTAACGCCTTTTGCATCAGAAATAGTCGCTTTCAACCGGTTCACAATCGCTGCAGCAGATGTGTCCTGTAATTCAGCAACACGAGATGTGTGACATGTTCGTGAGCAATCTCAAACACATAAAAAATGAACTACTAAAGGAAAAGGAGTTATTTGCCAACAGATGGTTTAAAAGATCTCCATTCAATATAGTCGGCTATATTGCGCGTTCACTTTTTGGTGTCCTTGATGCTGATTATGCGGAAGAAATGGCTAAAACCATTAGCAAGGCAAGAATAGAGCACGAGCACATGACAAGTCTGTTGAAAGCCCAAACTTCAATAGTTGACTCTACCATTAATGTCATAAAACAAGATGAGATCGGCAATCAACAAAGGATACAAGAGATCTCAGAAATGGTTGAGAAAATAAATAATGATGTGGATAAAGAGTATTCCCAGTTAAAAAACTCACAGCTTGTCGGACTCTTGTCAACGTACCTGGTATTCTCCGCAATGAACCTGCAGAGAGTAGAGTCGGAAATCATTAGTGTATTTCCGATACACATAATGGCAAAATAAGTCCACTTTTACTGTCTCCTCATCAATTGAGAGAAGAAATTAACATAATCAAGGCTAATCCTCCAATTTCGCATGCTTTACCAACGGACGATGAGAACTTGATTGAGCTCTATAAACTTATGAGCGTCAAGGGTGCAGTGACAAAGCATGAAGTCATCTTCGAGGTCAAGATACCCTTAGTCAAGCACAGTTTTTTGAACTATTCAAGGCGGTACCTGTTCCAACAATAAGGAATGGCACTCTAATAGCCATTAACCTAGAAAAGTCATATTTGGCTACAGATGCGCACAGAGTCGAATACATACTTTTCCAACCTGAGGACATATCAAGATGCCTTAAACCAAAGAATGACGAATACATCTGTAGAAATCAGCGCTCCAAACTCCGGAGGAACGCAGTCGCCAACCCCTGTGAAGTCAATACCTTTAATAATCATTCAACTGCCAATTGCAATCTCAACAAAATTATTGGATCTACAGTATGGACCCAATTGCATCATCAAAATAGAACGATCTTCGCTACTACTGTCGATGTGGAATCTTCTATTGTGTGCGGTATGGAGACAAATCTTATCATCATCAAGAATGCCGGAATAATAGAGATGGGTTCCAACTGTGTCATGAAGAACCATTTTGTTACCATACATGGGCATTTTGAACCCTCAAACAGCATACACACTTCATATGTGAGATTAAAAGACATCCATTCTATAAGTCCAACACAGGAAATAGAAAAGATTTTAACGCTCACGAACACTACTTCTTACAAGATTCATCTGGAAGTATTGGATAATATACAACGGCAGTTGAATGAATCAACTCTTAAGCATTTGCCACAACTTATCCACTCCACCAGTCTTCACCATCATGCAGTTAGCTACACCTCGTTATGTTGCTGCATTATTATTCTGCATGGTCTGCTGAGTTAGAGAATGCATTTAAAGTTCAACAAACCAGCTCAATTTACACCTACTCCAGCTGCAAGAACTCACCAATCAGCGACAAATGGCTCCGTTTCTGCTTGAACACTGTCAACGCGGCGGAGAAT